AAAAAATTATTAAAAAATTAAAATATATTAACAAAATATTAATATTAAACTTTTAATTATAATAGATATTACATTAAGATATAAATTAAAAATATAAAAATAATATAAAAATTTAAAAAAATTATACAAATAAATTATTAGAACTATTAAATTAAAATAAAAATAAAATAAATAATTATAATAAATAAAATAAAAATAAAATAACTGTTCCAGTATACATACATGAAAATGATTGCATCCTGTGTCATGTGAATATCATTGCCCACATACATACATACATGCAACATGAGACATGATCCCCTTCCGAGTGTGACTCATCCTCACTCCCTTGACTCCTCCTCTCTTTATATGCATCCCTTTTTTTTTCCTCTTTACGCAAATTCTACTCTTCAAACACAAAGTTCCTCAAACACCATAATATGGGAGAGGTTAGTTACTGTCTTCTAAATCTACTCATCTTTATCTCTAGCCACCGCAACGCTTTAATCACTTATCACTGATTCCTTTTCTTTTCCCTGTGCCAGAAAAATGAGGCCGATTCAGGAGCAAAGCAAAACGACGCACCCGCCCCTGTCGTTTTCAAACTCGACATGCATTGCGAGGGATGCGTCAAAAAGATCAAGCGCGCCGTTCGCCATATCCACGGTACTACACTATTCACATCCCGATTTCCACTTTTTCCTTCGATTAAACCGTTAATTCGCAGGGATAATTGAAAAGGAGATTATTAGTTTTCTATTCGGTGTCGGATGCAGGTGTGGAAGACGTGAAAGCCGATTTGTCCGGTAACAAACTAACGGTTATCGGAAAAATAGACCCTGCCGAGGTGCGAGATAAACTAGCGGATAAAACTAAGAAGAAGGTTGAACTCGTTTCGCCTCAGCCGAAAAAAGACGACGACGCCGGTGCACCGCCGGCGAAGAAGCCGGAGGAGAAAAAACCGGAAGATAAGAAGTCCGAAGAAAAATCTCCGAAAGAGGTGCGCAGTTTTACAATTCTCGCCTAAACCAATACGTTTAGCGTAAGCGAAACGGAACGCGAATTAATTTCATCGCAATTGACTCGCAATTTTGCCGTGTTAATTTAGTTTAATTAATATCGATTGATTTTGCTAACAGTCAGTTTCGTGTTAATTTACTCAGAGCACGGTGGTGTTGAAGATCAGATTGCACTGTGACGGTTGCATTCAAAAAATTCGAAAGATTATCTTGAGGAACAAAGGTTAGGCGTGCGTGTATTTTGACCTACATTTTCAATCGTTATCCAAAATACTTAAATTAAAAAACAAGTTAGCAGTATAATGGGAGGATGATACCGTAGCCCGGTAATATATAATGTATTATTAATTTAATAATTAAAATGGTAGGTTATTTATTTATTAAATTAAATATTAAGCGGCACTGGTTGGGGTGGTTAACCACGTGGCATCTAAGTAACGTGCGTTGTGCAGGAGTTGAATCAGTGAACGTTGAGGGAGAGAAGGATTTGGTGACCGTAAAGGGGACGATGGACGTGAAGGAAATGGTACCGTATTTGAACGATAAGCTGAAGCGAAACGTTGAGGTGGTCCCAGCCAAGAAAGAGAAAGAGAAAGAGAAAGAGGAGAAGAAGAATGAGAAGAAGGAAGGTGGTGGTGATAAGAAAAAGGAAGAGAGTGAAGGTGCAGCGAAGGTGGAGGTTAACAAAATGGAGCACTACGGATACGCGTACCCTCCACCCCCTATGTATTGGTACGATGGATACGCACCTGGTGAAAGCAGCAGTAGCAGAAGCTACGCCGTAGAGGTTCAGCCAGGGTATGATGGTAGTAATAATCATAATTATTACGGGAATTACCAGCATGGGTACACGAACCAAGGGTACATGGCACCACCACCCCCGTTTTACTTGAACCCTCACCATCCTCCCCCACAAATGTTCAGCGATGAGAATCCCAATGCGTGTTCGCTCATGTGACCCAATATTTTATATTTTTTACTAATTGTTTTCTTGTATAGACATGCTCGCTGTAAATAACAATTTTATTATATATAAATTCTAAATATATATTTCTGTATAACTTTGCTATTACCGCATATAGTGACGTAGAGCGCTGTACGGCCGGCTGGCTGGAGCCGGCCGGGGAATACGGTTCGGGAAATTATTATAAAAAATGAGTTATACGTTTAGCCTCTTGTAGTTCTTGATGTTTCTTCTGCTTCTTTTTGCTGATTTATTATAAAATAAAAAAAATAAAAATAAAAATTATGTGCAAATCAATTCGAGCAACTATTGAACTTATCGTAAATAAATTCGGAGATCCTGTCAAAGTTGTATATTTTATTAATATTGTGTTTGAGCGTGAGGTTTGGCTACAAATGGTCATGCTTGGGTGGAAAGACGTCATTGTATTATCTGGTAGAAAATCTTTATTCTTGAGATTGTTACCTAACATTGTGGTTAGTTGTTAATTCCGTCAAATTGTGATTACGAAGTCTACATTCAAATCAAATTCTAATGTCTCATTCTCTAACATTTCATTATCGTCTCTTTAATTTCATTTATAGTCTCTTTAATTAGAATTTGTCACGTTTTGTTGATTGATGGGGATTATATATTTGGCTTCTTATTTTTCTAAAATAATTATAAAAAAAATTGAAACTGCTTTCTCTGAAGAAGCTATTGCCCCTTTTTCTTACGCGTTTTATGTCTCCCTTACGCCCATTTCGAAGTTTTTTCCTTCTACTTTTCGAATAATATTTCATTTTTGACTAGTATTTATAGAATGGTTTCGAGTCACATTCCCATTTAGTTGTGTTTTAATGAAACAAATTAAGGTGAACCTACTACGGTAAAGTGAGCAGATTCACAGAACTTCATGGTGAACTTCGTGCTTGTTCAATAAAATACAAAAATTCAAACCAACATAAAAATTAAACTATTTGAAGCAAACCATTTGGATTTAGATATGGAGCGCACCATTTCAACTAAAAAATGCCATATCTACTAAAAGTTGGCATTTTTAAAACTTAATTTGAAGTATCATTCAAAACTCTTTCATACTTAACTTTTAAAACTAATTGTTTTATCACTGACTCTTAAAAAATTGTAACCTTACTTATTTAGTTTTTTTTTCTTTCAATTTTAACTCTTTGGTTATGATATGTAAATTAACGGTGATATTAGTTCTTTCACTGTTGTCTTTATATATGTTGCACAGGAAGTTATCTACCAAAATTTATGACGATGTTTCTAAAGTATCAATTTGTTGTCATATTGCAATAAGCTTTCAAAGGAAATTGTGGTGCTTGCATGAAGTCTAAACCTCACCGATTGCTTTCATTGATATCATAAAAGCTCAATCAAAAAACTTAAATTTTTTTTTATAAGATTAAAATAATTAACTTTTCAAATAATCACAAAAATCGACCTAATAGTATGAAATTGGAGTAGAATGCACTTCTTAAATTTAAAGGTGTCATGATTATAATTTTGATGAATGGAACAAAAAAAAAATAGACATTTCAAATTCTTGGTATTACTTAGGCTTAATTATATTTTTGATTCCTCAAGTATTATATTTGTGCAATTTTGATTCCCAAGGTTTTAATTGAGTAATTTTAATTCTTAAAAGATTACAATAGTGGGATTTTAATCCCTTGATTTTTAATTGAACAATTTCAGTCCTTCAAATATCATAATTGTACAATTTTAGTCTTTCTCATTAAAAATTTAATAATTTTAAAATTTTAATATATATATATAATATTTTAAAATTATACAATTGTTTGCTTATTTAAGTTAATGTATATTACAGTTTTTGTTAATGTTCAAATGATATATATTTATTATTACTAAATAAATAAAATTTATATATTATTAATATTTTAATATTATTGATAAATTAATATCAATAATATTTTTAGTATATTTATAGATAAATTAATAATTTAACAAATATAACTTAGTATTTAATATACTTTTACAAAAATATAAATATATTAGATAAGATGTGTATATTTTTGTAAAAGTATATTAATATATAATAAGTTATATTTATGAAGTTATTAGTTTATCTATAAATATACTAATAATATTATGTAAAAG